CTATGAGTTCCTACTTGTCAATCTAACTTAAATATCTTCCAGCCCAACTTAAATTCTGTCCCAGATTTCTAGGAACATAAACCGGGACTCTGATGAGAAGCCCCTGGATCTTAAAGGGATCTTAAAGACCATGGGGAATGGGATGAGAGGGTGAAAAAGAGACCTGGCGTCCTGGATGGGAGGGAGGAGCTACACAGGGACAGGCCTGAACGTGGGTATTTCCGTTCCAAAAGCACGACTTTCAGCTTGCCTGATCCCACAAGCCAATATATTCTCCCTCTGCCTTCAACCCTCAACACCCCCTGCTTGGAACACCATTAGACAGTTTAAGCGCAGCCTGTGGGTCGCGACCCCTTTGTAACAATGAAAATACATCCTGTATATCAGAAGTAGCAAAATTACAGTTGTAAAGTAGCAACGAAAATAATTTCATGGTTGGGGGTCACCACAACATGAGGAACTGCATTCGGAAGGTTGAGAACCACTGGTTTAAGGGAAGGATGCCGCGGGAGAGAGGCGGGATGGAGGCGGGGAGGGGGCGGGACAAGGAAGATAAGGAAGACTTGCCTGGCCAATGCTCTGAGATCAGAGGAAGGCAAGAGAAAGGCGAGGAAAAAGGCTTCTGGGTCAGAGCGGCGCCAGCTAGCCAGCGGGACTCTGGGTCCTCAGAGACAGCAGATACTGGATGACTTTGCCAAACCACTCTTCCCCAGATCTTTGAAGGACGCTCTAGACTGGGGCCCTGATCCTGCGGCCAGAGGGTAGATACTAGGAAGAAACTCCCAAAAGGCTGACCCTCTGCAGAGAGGGTGGGGAGTGGGGCTGATTTCAGGATCAGAGACTACACTGCAAACTACATGCGCGGTAACGCCCGTGTCACGATCGATGCAGTGATTGAGAAAGAGGAAGCGGCGGAAATCCAAGCAGCACCTGGAAAACAGGGATGGAGATGGAAAAAACACATACGACATGCTTCTGCACACACGTGCTTGTTGTGATAGGGACCGGATAACTGATGACGGCCTTCCCACGTGCTGAAGCTACAAATTCTACCTCTCCTCGGGAGGAGGGAAGTTTGATTGCCAGAGTGTTTAGAGCTATGGAAGGAGGAAGAAGTGTTGGATAGCTACACAAGAAGGGCATGGGGAGGACGGAAAGGAAAGTGAGCAGGGTCCCGAGAGGCAGGGCCAAGGTGTGATGGATTTTTTTTAGAGTCTCAGTCTGTCACCCAGGCTGAGCGCAGTGGAAGGATCACAGCTCACTGTAACCTCAAACTCCTGGTCTCCTCCTGCCTTGGCCTCCCAAGGCAACAGAGGTGAGCCACTGCACCCAGCCCGGTTTTGATTACAGTGGTTCTCAACCTTCCTAATGCCACAACCCTTTAATACAGTTCATGTTGTGGTGACCCCCAACCATAAAATTATTTTCATTGCTACTTCGTAACTGTAACCGCAACCCCACAGGTTGAGAACCGCTGTGCTTAGAGGCTGTGCCTCTGCCTCCCTAAATGTGTATGTGTGTATATGATATTCTGTGAGAAGCAGAAATGCTGAACACTAAACAACAGAAAACCATTTGGTCCAGCTCCATCTCTGCCTACTCAGACATATGCTTCTAGCAATACCAGAGATATGTCTCTGCAGCCAAGACAAGTGGAGTGAGGCAGGGCTGTGCAGGCTGACAGCAGAAAGATGGAGGATGCTCTGGGAGGCCGAGGTGGGTGGATTGCTTGAGCTCACGAGTTTAAGACCAGCTCAGAGCAAGAGCAAGACCCCCATCTCTACTAAAAATAAAAAAACTGAGGCAAGAGAATCACTTGAGCCCAAGAGTTGGAGGTTGCTGTAAGCTATGATGACACCATGGCACTCTACCCAGGACAATAGCTTGAGACTCTGTCTCAAAAAAAGAAAGAAAGAAAGAAAGAGGCAGTGCCTGTAACTCAGTGGGTAAGGTGCCAGCCACATACACCAAGGCTGGTAGGTTCAAACCCGGCCTGGGCCAGCTGAAATCAACAATGACAACTGCAACAAAAAAAATAGCAGGGTGTGGGGTGGCACCTGTGGCTCAAAGGAGTAAGGCGCCAGCCCCATATGCCAGAGGTGGCAGGTTCAAACCCAGCCCCAGCCAAAAACTGCCCCTCCCCCCAAAAATTAGTGGGGCATTGTGATGGGCTCCTGTAGTCCCAGCTGCTTGGGAGACGGAGGCAAAAGAATTGCTTAAGCCCAAGAGTTTGAGGTTTCTGTGAGCTGTGATGCTATGGCACTCTACCAAGGGGCACCCTGCCTCCAAAAATGAAGGAAGGAAGGGAGGGAGGGAGGGAGGGAGGGAGAGAGGGGAGGGGAAGGGAAGGGAAGGAAAAGGAAAGGAAGGGAAGGGAAGGAGAGAGAGAGAGAAAGAAAGAAAGAAAGATGGAGGATGACATCCAGCTGCTCTGCTCCCTCTGGAACCCGTGGACACACGGGATTTCTTTTCCCCGCATCACACCCGTAGATCCCATCACCAATCCAAGATGCTTTCTGATGACCACAGTGAAATGGCAGACCAGAGATGCCTTCCCACATCACGCTCACGCACACTATGCCCCATTGCCTCTCTCTGCACCCCCTCAAAGGTGCCTGCCTTCCTCTCCTCTCCACCCACAGCCAACCTTCAGTCGCCACCTCTCTTTCAGCCCTGGCTCCCCCCCACCCACGCTGGCACCTGCCTGGCAGCTCCGCATCCACCCCCTCAGCCCTCAGGAGGTCAGGACACACATGGAACAGGTTGATGCTGTTCTCCTGGAAGTGGAGCGGGAAGGGGGTGGGGTCACTGGGGCAGGCGAGGTCCCTGGCCTTCATCCCTCCCTCCAGAGGCATAAAGCAGCTGTCCTGGCAAAGGACAATCATTCTCTCCAGCTGCAGACGGAGGAGCCCAACTGCTGGACAGGACCCAGCCCCCTCTCCCTGGTAAGAACTTGATGACAGCAGAGTCCAGGGTGTTTGGGAGGATATAGGGAGATGGCAGAACCAGGAGGGAGTGGGGCTCCTGTAGAGTCCAGTGGGGTAGGTATCCAGAAGACCTTGGAGATGGAAAGGAGAGGCCACCCTATAAGCACATCTCTGGGGAGAGGAGACTGCAGTT